ACCACACTCTCTTTCTCCCAGAGGAGTAGTAATGACCCAAACCTTGGATCTTCTGAGTTGTAAATCGAGAGACCTCGACACCACATTGCACATTTTTTTTTTAATATCTCTTTTTTAGTTTTTGGCGGACACAACATCTTTGCTTGCATGTGGTGCTGAGGATTGAACCCGGGCCGCACACATGCCAGGCGAGCGCGCTACCGCTTGAGCCACATCCCCAGCCCAAATTGCACACTCTTTACCGCCTCATTCCTTTAGCACCTCCTGCTTTCCTATACTCCTACGTGCACTTTCCTTCCGTGTGAACTTGCTTCCCTTAGCCATACTGGCCTTGAAAGGCCTCCTCCGTACTCTGTGTCCTGGACATTCCTTTGCTCCATCATTACCTAGTCTGAGGATGGAGCAGAGAGAACAGTGGCTAAAACCTTGGACCGTCCTGATTGTGTCCACCAGCTCTGCACCTTGGTCAGATGGCTGTGGAGTGGGAACAGTAGTAGTAGCCATCTCACAGTTGTTGGAAGGAGCAAATGATCGTTTCTTTCTTTCTTTCTTTTTTTTTTTTTTTGAGAAGGATCTCACAGTTTTGCCCAGACTGGTTTCAAATTCCTGGACTCGGGCAGTCCTCTTGTCTCAGCCTTCCCAGTAGCTGGGGCGGCAGGTGTGTGCCTTCATGGCTTAAATGAGTTAATACTGGTTAAGCAGCAGAAAAGGGTGTGGGACGTAACACGAACTCAATAAGCAGTAGTGTTGCCCAAATGTCTGCTGATCTGTCTCTTACACAAAATCCTCTCTGACTAGTCTCACCCTGCCCACCGTGATCCCTTACCTTACTCCTCATTCCTAAGAAGAACACATGGGGGACTCAATTTACTCAAATAGTACTGTTGAGACAGCTGCAGGATAAAAGGAAGGAAACGACATCTGGGTTCAAATTTTGACCCACTAAGTACTGTGAGCCGTTGAGGGAGTTATTTGATTCTTTGTTTTGTCATGAATAATAAAATGAATATTTTATTATCTGAACAGGGTTATTGTGAGGAGTGTTTAAGAAATATCTCTATAGGTCCTGATTCATGGTGGACCCTCAATAAACACACTTGCTCTTTCAAAGTATATTATTTAGAAATTTTTTAAAAGTATTTTTTAGTTGTAGATGGATGTCATTTCAGTTACTTATTTTTATGTGGTGCTGAGGATCGAACCCAGTGCCCCACATGTGCTAGGCAAGTGTCCTACCACTGAGCCCCAGCCCCAGCCCTTACTTAGAGTTTTTGTTTTCTAGATTATAAAAGTAGAATTGTGATAGAAAATTCAGATAACTTAGCAGAGAATAAAATTAAAGTAATAAAAAACATATCCGAAGACAACTTCCCCAGCCAGTAACTCTGATGCTGGGAACTGAACACAGCTGGGTGTATTTCCTTTGTCTTCTTCTGTGTGTGTGCACACATGTGCCTGTAGTTCACAAGCAGGCACGGATTCATGAGAGAAAGGAGCCCTGTTATGTCCTGATTTTGCAGGCTGTTTTAGTTTGCATTGACATTTCTCCATCACATTTAATAGTCTTCCAAGTCATGGTTTTTATGAACAATAGAGCATCCTCCGTACCTCTCTTCATTTTTCCAACCATAACTCTGTTGTTGGACACCGAGGTTTTAACTCGTTATTCTAAATTGTGCTGCATCGAATATCTTTGTACATGAATTTTGTAAGTGTTTTTGATTACTTTGTTTGGAGATTCCTAGGGATAAAAATTCTGGGTCAAGTGGAGTCGGGGGAGGGGATCAGGCAGAGGGAGGAAGAGAAGGAAAGGGAAGGTACTAGGAACCAAATTGACGGAATTACAGTTATATTGCCGCCTGTATGAATGTGTAACAATGAACCCCTCTGTTACCTGTAACTATAATGCACCAATAAAAAAGAGAAGGAAAAAAAAAAACTGGTCAAAGAAAAGACATTGAAGGATCCCAGTACACGTTGCTTTCGTCTTCCCCAAAGGTCAGGTAAAGTAGATTCCTGTCATCATCCCATGCCGTCAGTGTCACCTCTGCCCATGCTCTGTTGTGTTACTCAGCTTTTTGTCTACTTTATCTGTTACCTTTCAACCGAGCGGCGCCTCCTCCAGTGGGCGGGCGCTGTGCCCATCTGATTCTTCAACACCTGCCACAGGGCTTTCCTGGGAGTCACTCACGAGGTGGCCACACGAATGATCTCTGTTTACAGTTATCCCTCTGGGCTAAGGGTTGGAGAAGTCGCCTGAACAATCGCTTTCAAGTTGAGAGGAGGTTTATAGACTTGTCCTCAGTCTCCCAGAGAGACTGACCGGAGAGAAAAGCATCAACTCACAAGAGAATTGCCTGATGTGACAGGGACAGGGTAAGTCCCTTGGAATGGGTCCAAGAGGGAAAATGCAGTGTTTTCCAGGGTCAGCGTTGGAAAGTGACCGCCCGCGCTGCTGTCTGTTATGCCTTCATAATGGGTGTGGAGAGGGGCGGGACCTGCTTTTACAACTCAGCCATGTAGCAGAATGAGTGGAATTTTCCAGAAGGTTCCTCTTGTTGGCTGTTGGCATAATTGCAGCTTTGCCCTCTGGGAGCCATTAGGCTGCAGTCCTGAAGCCTACACAGCTATTTTAGCAGGTCAGATCGTGGGTCTTGTGTTTTTGTTGGTTCAAAGAGCCATGTAGGATTTCACACCATAAATATCATTTTTATTTCCCTTGCACTGGCGCCCTATTAAGTGCTTTGAACGGGGCGAAAGTGAGGAAGGTGTCACCCCTCCCCCAACACACAGAGACACACACCCATCCCAAATGCAGTGACTTGGATGATTCCCTGGCAATGGGCACCTCCCTGAATGCCAGAGTCTGTGGAAATCTGGTGGGAAGGACACACTGCTTCAGGATTTCCCCAAATCTACACTCCCACTGAATCGATACTTCCTGTTTCTTTCCCCTAAAGAGTCTCCTCTTCCTGGGACAGGTATCTTTCTGTTGTCAGCAAAAGGCTTGGAGAGGGAAAGTTTGCAGGGTGGGGGCATCTGAGCTCATGATCGTAATTCCCCGTGTTAGTTTCATGTGCCTTCTGTGAACTGACCGCTAATCTTCACTGTAGCCAGTAAACACAGTTCCCCTGGGGCAGGCAAACCAAAATGGGAAGTCTGGCCTGATACACATTCTCCCGGAGGAGAGATCATTGCCTTGACATGATGGGCCAATTCATTCTTTTTTTTTTTATTTACTTTTTTTTTTAAAATTTTTTATTGTCCAATTCATTCTTGTGCTTATCCAAGGTTACCTTTTAGGACCTCCTTTTCCCAGAACCACAACTTCTTACAATTAAGAATTATCTTAAGTCAGCCCGCTAACTCTCCATGTGCAGAGCTGACATGTGGAAAATGTAAAACCTTTCCCCAGACTCCCTTGCAGTTAGGGTTTTGGTGTGATTGAGATGCTGTCAGTCAGATGCACCTCCTTGAGACCTGGATGTGGGACCGTCGTGTGTGGAACGAGGCCGGGCAAGCGGCATCTGTGTTTGCTTCTGTGGACTCTGCCGCAGGTTGGATGGTTCTAGAGCTACCAGCTACAGCAATGGTTTCTCAGTTCAGCTGGCCGCTTCAAGAGCCAGCTGCACCCTCGGTGGCCCAGCCTTAGAGCCTGGGCCTGGGAGTCATTTCTGAAGTTGATCTAGTTGTGTTGATTTAGCTAGCCAATTCCACTCCATCATTCAACCCCGCTGTAACAGACCCTTCTCGTAAACCTGCTGATACAGTCCTACAGCTACAAAGCTGTGATGTCTCACCTTGTCCATTTGTCGACTGAGACAGAATAAAATGATTGAAATTTTATCCTTGACTTTATTATGGGTCTTTCTCTGATGCTAGCTTCGAACTATTTGTATGATTTTCCTTGCAATGGAAAAAGATGACTTGATATCACACTTCTCAGATTTATATGAAAGGCCTTCCTGGAATTATACTGATGTGTTCAATCACAAAAATGAATGTTTCTAGGGCTGGGCTAGGTGGCTGGCACATGCCTGTAATCCCAGCGGCTTGGGAGGCTGAGACAGGAAGATCAGGAGTTCAAAGCCAGTCTTTGCAATGGCGAGATACTAAGCAACTCAGTGAGACCCTGTCTCTAAATAAAATACAAAATAGGGCTGGGGATGGGGCTCAGTGGTCTAGTGACCCTGGGTTCAATCTCCAGTACCAAAAGAAAAAAAAAAAAAGTTTCCATCTTTTTCTACCTATCTAATTGAAATAATGTGATGGGTCAATTTATGGAATTCATACATTGTGTCTCCATTAGTAATAATATAATGTTTTATATATATGTGTGTATATATATGTTATATATATTTGTGCATATATATGCATATAAGTGTGTATACACACACATACACACAAATATGAAGCAGCCTGTAACAGGCATAGTAAAGGGCTGGGAGAAGTATTTTGCTATTGATCAAGCCGTCAGTACTGGCACTTCATTTTCAACAAAAGAGCTGCACCCTCTGTGTAAGTCATATCTAGATATTTCCTGACACCTGGGAGTTGACTCAACAGGTGTTAATATGGCATTATTACTAGGACTCATGCCCTCCCTCCACTTGTTCTCTTATGGGCTCAATTTTGCCCTACAGTCTGCTGCAACTTGGCTTTGAAAAATGGGTCTGGACGTCTCAGGCATCATCCTGGCTGGAGAAGCACTGACTTAACGGGGTGAGGCCATGCTCAGTGATTATAAAATCAGACTTGTTCCTGCAGAACACTCGCATACCCCTTCCAGTTTTGGTCCTTCATGTAGACAGAGTAACAGGGCAGAGCAGCACTTGGATATCTAAGTTAGACTCCAAGACTGAATGGAAAAATGCTTCCCCATTTGGCAGGTTCTGTGCAAAGCACTGGCTAACCAGGGTACACTGCCACTTTATGAACCAGAGAAGCAGGGAATAAGCATTTCAGAAGCAGCAACAAACATGCCATCTCAAATTCAGAACTAAAAAAAAAAAAGAGAGAGAGACTTTATTGAGGGCAAGAGGATGCAAACAATATAAAAACCAAAAGCTTTAGCTTTCTCTGTTTGTCAAATGGGAGTTAGACATTATTTGCGCATTTTCTAAGGGTCCTGATCCTCTCCTGAAATCTTTACACAGGGGGAATCGGTGGGGCAGGTTCCTGAAGCAACCCTTTGGGAGATCTTTATAGGGCGGGGAGAATTGCTGGATTCTTTACTTCTTTCCCTTCTGCTTCATGTGTACCACAAAATAGTCATTGCATGCGATGGTGAGGCCTGCGATCAGCGAGAAGAAGCTCTGGAAGCCCACTTTGCCGTCTCTGCACTGGTCCAGGTCTTTCATTATTTTGTCCACAGCCAGAGGGTCTTTTTGATTCTGGGTTAAAAAAAAGAAGAGAGGCAATACATATTAGTCAGTGATTGCAATGACGAGCTTGTCTGATTTGCACCACGGACAGCCATGTGCCTGATCTCCCAGTTATTTGGGTCTTCTCGTAGGTCACCAGTGACTTTCATAAGTCTTTAGGGAGCAGTTCAGTAACTTCACATTTATATTCTGCCTTAAAACCCACTGTAAACTCGCCATTTTTTAGTTTAAAATTACATTCTTCTTCATCATATTCCAATCCTTTACAAAGGAAACTCCTATGAAGAGATCTCATAAGATTATTAGGGAGCAAGCGTCAGGTCACTGCCATACCTATCTAAAGGAGGTGCTAATGATGCCTGGGCTCCCTCAGGGTTTTTTTTTTTTTTAAAGAGAGAGAGAGAGAATTTTTTAATACTCATTTTTTTTTTTTAGTTTTCGGCGGACACACATCTTTGTTTGTATGTGGTGCTGAGGATCGAACCCAGGCCGCACGCATGCCAGGCGAGCGCGCCACTGCTTGAGCCACATCCCTAGCCCGCTGCCTCAGGTTTTGAGAAGTGGGGTAGACAGCTCTGTTTCCTCTTTGGCATAGCTGAGGCCATGCTAGTGACATCAGATCACATTATCCATGTGACCTTGAGTAAATCCAACAGCTCAGCACAATTTCATGTATCAACTGTGAATGGAGGAGCCTGGCCTGGGGTGTCATCCCTAGGGTCCCTGCCGTTCTGTGAGTTGGTGAGTCATGCATCCTGTACTCCTCCCTGGATGCTGTACACAGGGCCAACTTCAAGAGGAACAGTAGGACGGAATCACAAACCCCCGAGGCCAGGTCTGAACGCAAGGCAGCCGCGGGGCGGGTGGCGAGATCCCGCGGGCTTTCCTCATGCCTTCATGGTGACTGGCCTGGTCACCTCTCCACAGTGACGCTGGTTAGAAGTGGTAAAGTGACGTGTCTCTTTCTGGTCCAGCCATCAACCAGAGAGAGAACCACGGCCCATTTGAGGTTGTTAAAAGGCTCAGGTAAAGTATTTATGAGTTCCAGCGACTACACAACTGAGCGGGACCTGACACTCGGCGATTCAAGTGTGCAGGATGTTCATATTGTACTCAGACACCCCTTAAAGTAAAGCCACCACATTTCCTAGCGAGAACTCCTGCCCTAAGTGATCAACTAAAACCTGCCCCATGCAGCTCACTCTGGCCTGCCTCCAGCTTCCTGGCTGTGATCAGGAGTGACACTGCATGACATAAGGGATCTACTTTAGAGCAAAATGTAGTGTATGTGGGTGTGTGTGTGTGTGTCTGGAAAGATGACCCTGTTTCTGGAATAAATCACCCTTCCATGTTCAGCACTCCGCACTACTCACACCCTTTGTATTCTGGTTTCTAACTTATTCAACAACATGATTAACAAGTTTTAACAAGTTTTACTGTTGAGAACCCCTTTGTCCACGTGGTGGGCTGGTTCATACTGAGCACATTTTGTTCTTGTGTACTCTGCTGGCCTAAAAGATCACAGAAAGTGAAAGCGATCTTGCAGATAAATCACGCCCATCCCTCTCAGTTTACTGGGTCCCAGAGAGTTGAAGCCTCCTGTCCATTGTTAGTTAGGCCAGAGCCGGCTCTTCTAACCCCTGGTCTGGGGCTACCTCAAAGGGATCTACCACAGCAGAATGACCGACTATTCTAGCTCTTTCTGGGATAGCATTGTGGTGACTGCAGGTCAGACAGAAGAGTTAGGTTATTTATTTAGCCATTATTGATGATGTGTAAAAAACTGTTGTGCAGAGTTCCCCGTTAATTGATCTAGGACTCAGGGGCTTCACTAACGTACTGTTTGCCAGGCAGATGACAAGAGACAGGACCCAGCCTTTATCATCATTTCCCTTCGCCCTTGAGGGGCTATTGCATTATATAACACCCAGCACAGGAGTGATCCTTCCAAGTGACTATAGCTGTGGCCACTTCAATCCGCTGTTGGGTCAGCAATGTTTCACCTTGATTGCACATAAAATTCAAAACACCATCTCTTAGGGTTTTACAAAGTCAAAGGACAACTGTGCCCAGTGGCTAATGTCCTGAGAGATGCATCTGGGCTGCTGGCAGAGTCCTGTCCTTGTCTCCAGGGTTCCCCGGTCTACCAAAGGTGAGGCATAAACTCCACTGTGCTTCTACGTTCTGTAGCATTTTCAGTGTGAAAAGCAGTTACTTCTGAAGTGTTAAGTCCTTATTCAGCAAATGATTTATGGACTAGAGTTGAAAGAAGAGGGAGAAAAAAATACCTCTTTTGTCTGAAAGGATTTAAGAAGGGAGATTTGAGGTAGGAGTGTCGCTTGGCAGTAGAGCATCTGCTTACCATGTGTGAGGTATGCACATGGTTCATCCCCAGCATGTGCGTGCGCGCGCACACACACACACACACACACACACACGGAGATTCAAGTTGTTCAAAGTGGAGTGTGACTGGGATGTGTCATCTCCAGCATCAGGTTCATGAACCTGAAGGTGGCCGTGCCCTGTTGACTGTGTTCTTGTGAAAAGCCTTCTTTCCCCCACACTGTGGGGGGAACTCCAGATGGCATTTTATCCACACGTCATGTTCTTTGTGAGTAGTACTATTACATCTCTAAGTTACAACTCCTCGAGGGCAGGGGCGTGTCTTCTTTATTTTGTTTCCCTGCAGTACTTTCACAGTAGTCAATACGGTTTAGTAAACAAGCGAATAAAAAGAGCTTTCCAGTAGTGACCTCCCCTGGGGAGGGAGGGAAGAGGAAGGAGAAGGAAGTATTGATTCTTAGGTCTGGTTCTTTCTGAACCGTTCAATACTTACTTCCAAAAACCCAGGGAACTCCTTCTCCATGAGGACTCTCAGGTCCTCCTTGGTCAGGTAGCCTTTGTCTCCCGCAAACTTGTGAAATGTGAACATCATGGTCTCCATGGCGTGCTCCATTTGAGACGGCATTTTGATGGAGTCTGTTGAAACCTGTCAAGGGATGTAAAGAAACAAAGTTCACGTTAACTTTTAAGCCAAATGTACAGCTGGTCTTTTGAGGATGACTGGAAGGAGGGGGATTAGATAACCCATTGGATTCTCTTTTTGGGAGGTACTGGGGATTGAACCCAGGGGTGCTCTACCACTGAGCTACAACCCAGCCCCCTTTTTTTAAAAAAAAAAATGTAATTTAATTTAATTAAAAGTTTTTATTGGTGCATTATGATCATACATAATAGTGGGATTCACTATTCCATATCCATACAGTCACATAACATTTTATCTTAATTTTTTGAGATAGTTGCCCAGGTTGGCCATGAACTTTGGCCTCAGCTTTCCAAGTGACTGGAATTACAGGTGTGCACCACCATACCTGGCTTCATTTGATTCTTTCCAGCTGTAAGACTCAACGTGTCTATAAAACTCAATGTGTCTAAGGGCCAAGTTCCCCCAGTTTTTGAATTTCTCACTGATAGAAATAGGCCTGAATAAGGGATTTATCGGGTTGCCAGCTAATTCTGCATAAATCACCTAATAGAGAATAAAAGCTCTAATCATTTGGAAAAACAAGGTCAGGGTCTCTCTCTCTCTCTTTTGGTACAGGGGATTGAACCCAGAGCCACTTGACCACTGAGCCACATCCCCAGTCCTTTTTATTATTGTTTTTTTCTATATTTTTTTTAATTTTGAGGTCTCACTAAGTGGCTTTGGGTCTCATTAAGTTGCTAAGGCTGGTCCTCCTGCCTCAGCCTCCCAGGCCACTGAGGGTCTCTCTTTTTAACCGACCAAGCCCCCCACTGCAAGACCATCTACTTCTTTGTTCCTCTTGGAGTTGGCAAATGAGACCCTTAGACATGGCTGAGTACCAACAACCTACCCCATTGAGATGGGTTAACGTGAAATCCTCCATCCTCCAAGCTTAATATGGGAACCTGGTTCAGTCTGATTCTAGGATTTAGAAATCTGCTTATAGATGAGTCTGTCCACTGGACAAGTGTTTCTTTACTTGTTATTTGCTCTGAATTTATTATTTATTGCAATAAAGAAGACAGTAAAATGCAGCTGCTCTACCTGAATACAAGCTCCCCAAATTTCATTATCTAGTTCACTGAGAAGGAATAAGTAACAGTACAGCCTAACTCCTTTGGGGGCCTGACACATTTTTTGGCAGCACTAGACAGAAGCGCAGCTCTCACAGGTGCAGTGGGAGAGCAAGAGGGTTTCACGAGGTCCAAGATGAAGACAGGAAAGAAACAGGTCAGGTCACTGTATTCAGGTACAATGTGTCTCATTAAGACCAGTGTCTGGTACTTCATAGGAACTCAGCGGGTTTTGGCTTAACAGAGAAGCTTTGACCAACATCACCTAAAATCACTATGGGATAGGACACAGGTGAACTTGACTGGAGATTGCAATATACTACAAAAAATTTAAAAAAAGAAAAGAAAAGAAAGAAAGAAATCACGAAGGCTTTGAACCTAGGTGGAAGGAGAGGCTGGAGAGTGAGTGCCAACAGGAACCTGAGACTCGCTTCTGTGCAGTTCCTGCTGCTGACAGATGCCTGTTCAACACACGTCTCTTTATAAATGCTGCCTTTCACAGAGTGAAAGGTGTCAATGGTGAACATTAGGATGCAGTGATTATGTTTAAGAATTGTAAATTCTACCCCTTAATCTCCAGAACCGCACAGAGACGCAGCAAGCCAAAGAATGCTGCTCTAGAGAAGGCTAGAGGCCAGAATCCGGCATGATTCATCTGCAAGGCAGTTCTCTTGGAGACACAGCAGATTCATGCTTCAAGGTCCACCGTGAGATGAATTCCAGGGGAACCACACCCCTTTACCTCTCTTCCTACACAGCCCAGATCCGGCTCATCTCCCAACCCCCACAACAGTTCAGATAGTGGACCTAGAGGGAGTCTGCCTTGCCTGGATTGTTCTGGAAGTCCAGCAACCTAAGAGAACTGAATTGAGTGAGTTGCTTATAGGAGGACATGGGATTCCACCTCCATCCTCAACTCAGGAAAGGAGTCAAGGCACCACGGGGGCTTAAAAATACCTGTGCCCAAGTTCAGAGCTGCAGAGCGTTTCCTGACCAATGCCCTAGGATCCCGAACATTCTTCACGAGACAGAGCAGGAGAAGAGCACTCTGCAGAGTCAGAAAAGAAGGGGAATGCAGCAGGAAAACAGGCTAATTTAGGAACTGCCAAGAAATACAAGCTGTAGGGTAAAATCCTGGTCACACGCGACTGTCTTTAACAGAAGGAGGTCAGTCTGCCTTCCTCTGTGGGCAGTGCTGTGGTCTGGGGTAACTCCAGTCCCACCCCTTCCTTGCCCACACTGGTCCTAAAGCCATGGAACTTTCCTCTTTGAAACAGAGTCCCTGCCCCATAGGGTCCCAAGATGGTTTATTCAGCAAATGGGTAGGGAATCCAGCAACCAGAGAACTCCCTCTTGTCCAGTAGACCTTGTGCAATAAGAATGCTGGGCAGGGGCCAGCCAGAAGGCCAAAAGAGCACGGAAAACCAGAGAAGCCCTGAGTCTCAGCAGTACCTATGCCGCAGAGGGCAGCGGTGAGGGCTGCAAGCAAGGAACTATGTTTGGAAGGAGCCTGTAATCCCTGTGACTTGGGAGGCTGAGGCAGGAGGATTGCAAATTCAAAGCCAGCCTCAGCAACTTATTGAGGCCTTAAGCAATTTAAAAAATACACACACACACATGTACACACACATATACATGCACACACACATACATGCACGTACACACACACACACACACACACACATAGGGCTGGGGATATTTCTCAAATGTAAAGTGCCCCTGGGTTCCATCCTTGGTATTAAACAAAAAATTATGATCCAAACTCTTCTCTGGGCTAGAGGATGAATCCCACTGTCCTCCTCCGGGCGCAGACCGAAGTGGTGGCCGAGTGAGTCATTCCTACAAGGATCTCCCTTCTTGGGCGGTGCTTGCTGGGCAGGGCCGACTGCGGCGCTGTCAGTTGGTCTGAAGCTGCACTTCTTCAGCTATGTGAATCTGGCGTTTCCCCACACAACACCTTACAGCTCCCCTCCAGTAGGGTGGGTCTCCTGCTTCCTTGCTGGATATACTTTGGCACAAGAGTCTTGGGACTTGGGCTAAGAGGCAGCCGCGTCTTTTTGGTGCCCCCCACAACCTACTTCTAATACCTGAAAACACTTGATCACGTTTCATTGTTCACCTGCCTTAGACTGAAGCTCCTTTTGGTCAAGAACAGTGAATCACTGGGCTTTTACCCACAGACCACTAAATAACCGTTTAGGAAGGGAGTCAATGAATGCATCAGACGGTCCCAGGACAGTAGCTGGGACTATTCAGGCTAGGCTGAACACCCTGGCTCAGAGCACATCTGGACTACGACGACGACAGAGATCTGGGAAGGACCAGGAAAGGGGCCCCCAAAGAATTCACCTATGAATGGAACAGTAGAGAGGAGAGCACATTCCAGAGGCAAAGGGAAGGGAATGTGTCTTGCTAAACAGGTCTGGTCAGACTCTGCCCTGACTTCTCTTCTCACCCCGGCTGTTTCTCATGCTTTCATTCAACCCACCTTCTACTTTGTGCTTCTCCAGCTCTGCTGCCTCCTGGGCGTAGCAGGGAAGAGAAGTCCCCCTTAGAAAGGTGTCTGCTTCTGAGCAATCCTAAATGTTTGCACATCTGTGAGTTAAAATGTTTGAGGGTTTTGGGATTTTGAAAAGGTTTTTTTTGTGTGTGTGTGTGTGAATACTGAACGCAGAGGGTATTCTTGAATTTGATCCCTAGAGGGAATTCAGAGAGAAAAGAGTTGAGGCAAAGGATCTGGAGCCAGTTTCTCATCAAATAAAACTTGCCCACTAAACACTGGTCAGTAAGGGAAAAGTTCCAGATGCAACTCAATAGGAAGAAAGAACTCAGAAACACCCTCTAACCCAACCAAGTACCTCTATTTTTCCTCGAAGAACTGTCAGACATCAGCCTAGGTGGGTCAACAATAGCTATTGTGAAAGCCACTATTAAATCTGTTTGTGGTGCAAGTGAATATTATTCGGTGAAGGATGAGAAGTGCTGAAGATTGTTAAAAATAAGCAAATTCTTCCTTTTTGCTTTTGCTGTGAGATCCCTAAATTTTCCTGGGAAAATGAGGAACTTAAGAAAGATCCTAAAAATTTAGTCCATCTTTTCCAGCACTCTGAGACCTAATTTTTACATTATAATCCTGAAAGAATGTCATTGTTTCCTTCAACTTTATGCTTTAAAAGACTGGACTGTGTCCAAGGGCATACTGAGTGGGTAGTGCTCTAAAAAAGTCACATTTTTTTTTTTTGAGCTGTCAATGGAAAGCTGGGAGTCAAAGCTGAGAGGCACCCAGCCTCGGCCCCACCCAGCCCAAGGCCTGACAGCACAGGGGTGGCTGCTCAGAGGCTGGACAGAGGCCAGACATGGCAGTACAGGGGTTCACCTGATGTTGTACCCAAGAAAATCCAGAAATCAGAATGAGCCCAAACAATTGCCTGATGCCCAGTAAACTTAGAAAATTTGAAGAACTGAAACAAGAAACTGCAAATGTTGGCTCAAGGACCACCATGAAGAGACTCCCCTCTGGCTGTCACTGAGAAGGGGTGATTAAATAGAAACCGGATTGGAATCTGTGGGGACAGGGGCAGATGAAGAAATTTCAAGTGAGTTATATGAACTCATTCCTGCCCCACCCCTGGCATTATCTTTTGCAATTTACTGAAACACACTGGAAGCAAAGATCATCGATTGGGTGTTTCCATGGGCCTGCCCTCACCTGAAGTTCAAGATGTAAAAATCCAGGCCTGGAGGCTGAAATTCAGATTTCAGAGGAAAAAAGAATTCTGCATCAACTGCAAACCTCTCAATGGGAAAGGCGCCCCTACCCCAAGTACAGCGAGCTGCTGGGCCCCACATGGCCAATAACCTGGCTGACCACCTAGCAGGTCTCGCCACAGCCCTGCCCATTTAAGTATTACCCTCAGCAGGTCAGTCAAGGAAACTCTCCAGATTGGCGTCCAGTCTTGGTGTGACTCACTTCCTCTCGGAAAATGCCCTCTAAGATGGCACGGTTCTTTTCCTTCAGGGAGTGTTCTGTCCAAAGCATCCACAGAGAGTAACTGCAACTAGCAGGGCCACACCCACGGGTCTCACAGCTGAGTCACAGGCCTCCGATCACCAGGAGGATCCTGGAACCCTCTGTGCTAACCTCGCCCTGGAGAACGCTTCCAGCTTCCCCTGGAAGGGACCAGAGGGGTGGGGGCGCCTAGGGGGGTGGAATTAATGTGTTCCAGACCTGGCTCAGGGCCTGGCTTTGCGGGCCTGGCCCTAAGCTGCTCAGCTCTCCCCACCACCCCTACCCAGCATGACAGAGTTCCTGGTTTCAGTTAGGCAGAGACTGCCCCGAGGCCGGGCAGTGCGGGATCCAGGGTTGGAGAGAGCGCCATTCCTTGGGCAAAGCTCGGCTGTGAGCCGGGTACCCATGGCACCTCTGTCCGTCTCACTGCAAGGGGCCAGCGTGATCTGGGATTGCAAGATCCTTCCTCACGCCCGCTTTCCCCCATTTCTGGTTCCACGCACTTCAGATAGTAAGCAGGGACTTTTGGAATACACATTCTCTCCGCCATCGCCCCACACCCCCGCACGGCTTCATAAAGGACGCACACGGATGCTTGCCTCGGCGGCAAGACCTCCCTGTGCAGCCGACCAAAACAGGAAGCCCAACCTGCAGCGCGCGCGCACGCCAAGAACAGGGGAGCACCCTTTAGGAGGGGAGCCCTGCAGTAGCCCTGCCGCCCAGCCCGGCCCGCGCGGGGAGTCCGACTGGGAGGAGGGTACGGACACCTGGACTGCGGTCCGTCTGCAGCCAAAACCTACAACACGATGGGCAGCCAGCCGGGGCGGGACGGGGGTGCGCATAACTTGGGGACTAATCGCAAAGTAGGAAAGGTGTGAGTCCAGAACCCCGAACGCAAACGAGGGAGATCGGAGTTCCCAAAGCGCCAACACCGAGACGCTGTAGTGACAAGTCCCCCTTCTCCGGTCCGCGAGGGGCTGGGGGCAGCCGCGCTAGGGCTGGGGAGGCCGCTGCTCCCCTGGCTTGGGTGTGGCCTGCCGCGCGGTGCAACGGATTCCCCGCCAGTGGCTCCCCACCCCGGCCCGGCGGTGACCCGGGCGCCCAGAGACGCCGGCACAGCTGGTCAAAGCAGCCGGGGTGAGGCTTCCCCAGGGGTCAGATCCTCGGCCGGGGACTGCCTGGGGGCGCGCGCCCCAACTCACCTAGCAAGGGAGGCGCGGCACAGACGCAGGGCTAGCTGGAACCGGCGGCCAGCGGAGCGCAGCGGACCTGCGCCTTTGTACGTGGGGAGAGGCAGGAGGCGTGGGGCAGCCGAGCGGGAGGAGCCTGGCTGGCGGTCCGGCGCGCTCCCCACCCCTTCTCTTCCTGCCCACCCCGCACCAGCGCTGCACACGCCCTTCCCACCCTTGCAAACCCCCACCCCGCCCGAGGGGACGTGCCTGCAAACCTCTCTTCGGGCAGGAATGCACCTACTGCATTTCAGGACATTCCCCCTCTAGGCCGTGCCTTTCCTCTTAGGTTTGGTTTTATAAAGTGGGTGAGTGTGGAAATCAAAGAACCCAGCCGCCCTGCGGGTGGGGCACGCTGGCCCAGAACCAGAGGACAGCGGCTCTCCAGTAACCGACAGGTCGAGGAATTATTTTCTAGATGACACGACAGGGAGGAACACGTGGAGTTCTAAAGACTTTGAAGGCACTGGGGACTTGGCCTTTCGCAGATCTGGCCCTCGGAGGGGCTGTTGGGAGGGGGGCGCCCTCCGCTGTCCGCGCCTACGGTGGGCGGGCATCTGGCAAAGGAGCCGGTCCGGGCCTACCTTCTGCCCTACCTTCCCGCAGGGTGGGGAGGGAGGGTGCTGTGTTGAACAAGGGATTTACTACGCCTGGTGTGTGTGGTTTTGCTGGTTCAACAGTTCGGTTTCAGGTATGGTTGAAATGGTTAAAACTAAGTTTCCAAGTCTGTCTCTTTTTGCTCAGTAATGGGTCTGCTTGGCTCTAAAAGCACTTTAGAAGGATTTTCTGGAAGAAAGTTAGGGAAAACCTTAGTGTTTCCTAGCGGACGACTCCCCCCCCCCCCCAAATTTATTTAATTGTGGGTTAAATGCACACTACTAGCAGCTGTTGGTGGAAAAGAGCCCAATCCCAAATTCCGGGGTTTTCCTTTGTTCCCAGGGGACGTCTTCGGAGGGGTGAGTGATCCCAAAGGAATGAGCAGAGTAGGGGAATCTCCATGTGTCACCACGTGACTAGTCTTGGCTGTGGCCAGGAAAATCCGACTTGGATTTTGGCTCTCACTTCCTGGGTCTCTGCAATAGTGCCTACTGTTCAAGGAGGCAGTTCTTCAAGAGCTTCTCATTTACTTCCTAGGCCCCAGATTACAGTCACCAGTGCAGGAAATCCTGGGTCCCTTTAGTCCCTGGGGAGATGCAACTGGATTTAGAAAGAGAATGCCTGGGTTTGTATTCTCCTATTCATTTGATTTCTTCATTTGGTTCACAAATCTTTAGGAATGCTTAAAATGTGCCTGGCCCTGAGAATTCTGAGGTGAAACAATCAGTCTCATCCCTCAAAGAACTCCAGGGCTTATTGAAAGAGAGACAGCAAAAATTAAAACCCAGTGAGACTAGTGAGTGATTCAGGATACTAAGAAGATGTTGAGGAGGGGCTTCCAAATCTCCTTGAAGTGGTCACAATAATTCCTGGAGGAGAAAAATTTTAAAATAACAATAAAACTTATTGTGACTTTTTCTTTGAAACTCAGACTGGATTCTCAACCGGTGGACTCAAGTGACCTTCCTACATCAGCCTCCCCATAACTGAGACTACCACGGAGTTATAGCCCCCAGCCTTTTTGAATTTTTATTTTGAGATAGGGTTTCACTAAATTGCCAAGGCTGACCTCAAGCTTGTGACCCTCCTGCATCACTGGAATTATAGGCATGTGCTGCTGCACCCAGTTTTATTGTGGCTTTTTTTAAAATATTTTTTTTAGTGTTGATGAACCTTTATGTTATTCATGTATTCACATGTGGTGCTGAGAATTGAACCCAGTGCCTCACACGTGTGAGGCAAGCACTCTACCACTGAGCCACAACCCCAGCCCTATTGTGACTTTTTAATCTGTAAAAGGATTGTATTCTTGTTGTAGAAGCCTTGGAACATATAGCAGTTCAAAAAAGAAAAGGTTATTTATAAATGCATGAATCAAAGATAAATATTTTTGTATATTTCTTTCTCGTCTTTTGTATATTTTTTTTCTGGGGAGATGCAACTGGATTTAGAAAGCGAATGCCTGGCTTTGTGCACTCCTATTCATTTGATTTCTTCATTTGGTTCATATATATGTACCAAATGATTTTTTGAAGCATATATATGTACATGATTGCGATCACACTGATTATAAATTATGTAGTATTCTATTCTTATTCCATAACACTGTATCTTTACCATTTTCTGACATTAATTATTTACCAAGAGCATTCTTTTTTCTTTTTCATTCAACAAATAACTATTTTCTTTCTCTGATCTGTAATCAGGACACTCAGGACTCTGGAGCCCTACTGGGTTTCTGAAACACTGTGCTAAGCACCAAGGGCAGAGTGGTGAGCTTATGTGGCCAGCAGGATGGATGCTATGCCTACTCTCCTGTGTTTTTTTTTTTTTTTTTTTTTCCCCTTGGCAGGGCTGGGCAAGCACTCTGCTACTTAGCTATACCTCCAGCCTTCCTGTGGCTTCTTAATGATTCTATGTACAGATAGGTCCTAAAAGTTCCAAATACCTTCCATTCCTCTAATCTCCCTCTAGGAAAAGTGGTCTCGGGCCTTTCTTTCTCCAGGAAGTAATTACACCCTATCAACCACAGACAGACGGTGAGACAGCTCTGCTTCCCTGAAGACCACTGATCAGAGCAGGGACCAGCACCTGAGCCAGAACAGTGCACCCAGCAAGAACAGTGTCATAGCAGGTGGGGAAGGGAACATGTGCAGAGTGCAGAGAGGAGCAGGCTACATGGCGCTGGAGGAATGGGAACCGAGGGCCCATCTAGCCTGGTTCCTGGAATGAAGTGGAAGCCATGTCCAAGTGCCCCCCAGGCCTGAGATACTTTCCAATCTGCAAAATGCTGGGAGCAGGAGAAATTGTTCCACTGGCACAATACCCAGAATTGGGAATTTTCCTACTTTTTAATGAGACACAGCAACAAAATCCCAGTGGCTCTCGACTGTATTGGGTTTGTAGGTTGCAGCACAGAGGGTGGGTGGGTCACCAGGCACGTGTGTTCCTCCTTCCACGGGATAGAGTTGTTGTTGGGAAGTGGCTGCTCAGCCAGGGGTTATGTTCCGAGCACCTGCTGCACCCATCTGGAGCCATGTAACCACTGACAGAAGGGGACTGGAAGTGACCTCGGTCACTTGCAGGCCCAGGCAGCAAGAGCTGATCTTTTCATATTCTTTCTGCCGGGATTCTGAGGCTCCAGGGATGGAAGAGCCACAGTTAGAAGGAGACTGGGTTCTAGAATCACTGTATGGAGGAAAGCCAAGTTGCTGAGCAGGAACACCCTCACTGGATGAGTTACACGGGTGAGACAGAACCCCAGAATTTGGGGGCGCATTTGCTATGACATAACCCCAACAGAATGGCATTGAATACTAGTATATTTGGCAGCATATTTGGAAGGATTAATTTGCATATATAATAATTGCACTGTGGTACTGATCACATTAGCATAGTGTCACTGAAGAGAACTGTTTACTGCCCTGACCACTCTCTCCTAGACTCTCCTGGGACAATGTGCTTCTAGGGCCTGGCTAATGCCTAGTTTCTTCCTAGGTACCAGGTTGCACCTTGCATCACACAGAAACCTCACTCAACATCTTGTCTGCCCAGGCACTGTGTGAGCATGAATCATATTATAGAAACTTTATCCGTCCATTGTGGTGTTTCAGTGAAGAGTCACGGCAGTCCTTCACTCCCTTCATCGAGAATCACTGATTTACAGTGATCTGGTCAAGACTGATTGCTGGCAAGCCTAAAAAGAAAGGAAAACAAGCTATCAGAAACCAAAACAAGGGCTGGGGTTGTGGCTCAGCCATAGAGCACTCACTTATCACGTGCAAGGCCCTGGGTTCGATCCTCAGCACCACATAAAAATCAATCAATCAAATAAAGGTATTGTGTCCAACTACAACTAAAAAATAAATATTAAAAAAGAAAAAGAAACAAAACAAAACAAACACTCACACAAGTGTGACTATATGAGTATACTCTAGTATAGTAGTATAAAATAGGGAGATATTTTAATTGGTTAAACATTTTCCATATTTTTTTAACATTTAGGTTGTTTCTAATTTTTTTTTTTTGTACTGGAGATTGAACCCAGAGGCACTTAACCCACTGAGCCATACCCCCAGGCCTTTCTTGTATTTTATTTAGAGACAGGGTCTCTCTAAGTTGCTGAGGCTGGCTTTGAACTTGTGATCCTCCTGCCTCAGCCTCCCAAGCTGCTGGGATTACAGATACTCACCACTGCGCCCTGCAGTTGTTTCTATTTTTTTTTTAACTATTATAAATAATCATATATGAAAAGACTACCTGGAATAAAAATCTTTGTCCACTTGTCTGGTTGTTCAGATATGTTCTTACTATTGGACTTTTTTTTATTGGTTTATTTGTTTATGGGGATCTTAAAGGACTGGTAGAAAAGAATCACATTCTGTGGGGGCGGACGGGAGAGAAAAGCCTGAGTTCTAGCATGGAATCGTGAATTAGTGCATCTACTCCAGGAATCGCCCCCAGTTCTGCGTGGAGAGTGCGAACCCCTTAGAACCTTGGCTGGCATGAGTCCTCATGGGGAGTGCGGTCCCTGGCGCCTGCTGAGGAGGTTGGACCTTGTTTCGACTTATTTTTTGCAGTTCTGGAGATCAATTCCAGGGCCTTGCCCACGCTGGGCAAGCACTGAACCCCTGAGCCACATCCCCAGCCCTGCAGCCTGTTTCCAGGCTAATGAGGAATCACTGAAAAATGCTAAACAGGGCGTGAGTGGCTCTCCCACTCACCTGGGCTCCGGGCAAACCCCTTCCCCCTGTGAACTGGAGTCTCCTTAGGGGTAACATGGGGCAGACTCACCTTCTGGAGTGATGGCAAAGACTGAGCCATCTGATGAACAGGAGAGCACCCAGCTGGGCCCCAGCAGGCAGCAGGCTGTGGAGAGCCAGAAGACTTCCGCTTCCTCTGTGTGACTCCCCCTCTGCAGAGCACAGCTGTGGGGGAAGCAGGGCTGGGCTTGGTGTGATTTGTGGGTAAACGCCTTTGAAGG